ATAGAGACTTATTAGCTTGAAGAACAAGAAGCATATGGGGATACCACAGAGCTGGAAAGTGGTAGAGAATATCTGTAAAAGAGACATCCAAAAGAAGAGATCCCAAATTGCACATAAGAACTCTGACCAAATCTCAGAACTGTGTGAGATAGATGACAAGCAGCCCCACTAGGGCTAACAGAACTGAACAGAGACTTCAGCTGCTGTAAAATGCAGGGGAGAATTAAGGATTTGTGTTCAATGAAGTTACTGCCTGAAAAAAAAAAAAGTATTCTTCAGAGAAATAAACAGAATCCAGACTCTGTACAGCTCATTCACAATTCCCCTGGGATATTTTTAGATACAATCTAAAATCATTCATCATAAAAGGAAACCAGAAAACATGGCTTATACTCAAGAGGCAATCAATGCAGACCTACTTCAAATAATCAAAATGATGTATTTAATAGAGAAGAACTTCACAGCAGCTATTATATCTAGGGTGAAGGATGTAAAACAGAATATGCTTACAATAATGAGAAAACAAGAAATATCAATAAGAAATATCAAATATAAAAATAAGAAATATCAAAAATAAGAAAATAGAAATAATCCTTTTTAATTGAAATACTAAAACTAGAAACTACAATCATTCATAAAACCAATCCAGGGTTGGCTTAGGGGAAATTCAGGATCTCATAAGAAAGCCTGAGTGAACTTAAAAGTAAATTAATAAAAATGATCCAATATGAAAATAATGAACAGAGCCATAATAATCAAAAAAAAATTAAAGTAATAACATAAGCTTAAACCACAGAACAACTACTAAAATACAATACAAAAACTATACAAGTAGATGAATTAAATGAGAAACAAAGAGGTAAAAATCACATGTTCGCTTAAATACGTGCAGAAAATCATCATGCAAAATCCAATATCCATTGATGATAATGATAAATTAGGAGTATTAATCTGATAAAAGGAAATGAGAAAAAGCCTACCGTTAACATCATACTCATGGTCAAATATTGAATGCATTCTCTGTATGATTGGATATATGTAAGAAACATGTCAACACTCACCATTCATATTCATCATTGAACTATATACATCCTAGCCCCCAAAATAAGGCAAGAAAAACAATAAAAGCATAAATATCAGAATGGAAGAAATAAAAGTCTCCATTTTCAGATGACATAACAGTCTATGTAGAAAATCAAAATAAATCAAGAGAAACCTACTAGAATTAGTAACTGATTTAAGCAAAATCATAGGACTCAAGACCGACATTGAAAAGCAATTTATTTTATAATCTAGCAGTGAATAATTGGAAAATTAAATTTAAACATACTTTTACAATAATGTCCCAAAATAAACTACCTTGAGGAGATAAACAATGCCTCACTTGCCACTCTGAGTGATTAGATGAGTCACCTGGTCTAGGAAGGTTCATAGTACTGGGAGGCATGGTGGAGTTGCTATAGGTATGAGATAAAAAAGCAGACCTGGAATTGGACAATATGGAAGATTAGGAGTCAGAATCAATAGATCCCCCATAATCATCCTTGGGGAAAATGGATAATTACTAGAATCCCATATCACTGAGTGCAGATCAAGTCTCTCTATTCCAATAAGAATCTCAGGTCCTCAGTGTTTAGAAACATCTGGTCTCCAACTAGTGATGGCTGTAGATATTACTGCCTGCTCATTGTTCATAATGACCCTGCAGGATGAAGCCTGCTTCTTCCCTGAGATTTCTTCCCATGAATCCTTTCCCCCAAATTTCCACTGTGGACACCCATCTCCCAAATTCACACCCTAGTACAATCCTAAGGTCCCAGAAGGACAAGATGGAGTAATTGCCGCTCAGAGAACTTGCATCATGAGAGAATCCACACTTGATACCCACTGAACTTTTTATTTTGAGTCCAGAATTCCCTCTCAGGACATTTTCTAAAGAGAAGCTACTTATAGGCTTCATACTCTTGTGAGGAAAGAGCTTCGTTTGAGGACAGGAGACGCTGTCAAAAAAAAGATGTCTTGAATTTTTCCTTTGTGTTTGCTAACTCAGGTACTTTCCCCTTTAACTTGTTTTACATCTTGAACTGGTTTTCTTAATGAGTTATGGCCTCAGTCATTGTAGCAATAGGCTGACAGGAAAGCAGAGGTGAAAGGGAATATGGATAAGACTCAATTTCCCCCAGCGCCCATGGATGAGAGTTTGAGGTGTGTGTGGAGAGAGACTGGATGTATCTAACCCGGAATAGAGAACTGAAGAGTTTCCCGTGAAACAGGGACCAGAGCAGAGACTGGCCAAGTAACCCATTATTTCTATTTCTCTCATCTCATCAGTAGGTTGGGAAAGAGTTAGAAATGAAAATGCCAAAAGACACTGGGACATCATCATGGGCTGGATGAAAACACACTGGAGCAGCATTTGCCCTTCTGTCTCACCGGAGGAGGGGAATAGGCTTTACTTCATTCCTGAGGACTGCTGTAGCCTTTCAGCTCACTGCAAAGAATGAGGCTGACAAGGAAACGGAAATGCTGACCTACACCGTTGCTGAGGGAGCTCATGACTGAACTCCTGACCCTTCCTCTATCACTGTAAGTCATTATGGGAAACAGCAATCTGAAGAATAGAGATTGATCTGAGCAAACAGAGAAAAAGTGTTCCATTGAGAGAGAATTACTATGGAAATAGAAAAGAATGTCAAATCGGCTGCCAGCCCAGTGGTGTACTGGTTAACTTCACGCGTTCTGCTTTGGCGGCCTGGGTTCGCCGGTTCAGATCCTGGGCAAGGACCTACTCACTGCTCATCAAGCCATGCTGAAGTGGCATCCCACATAGAAGAACTAGAAGGACCTACAACTAGGATATACAACTACGTAATGGGGCTTTGGAGAGGAAAAAAGAAGAGAAAGATTGGCAACAGATGTTAGCTTAGGGCCAATCTTCCTAAAAAAAGAAAAGAACGTCAAATCAACTTATTCCTAATATATTCATTTAGATTAAAGAGGCCCTTCCAGTAATTAAAATAAAAACAGACTAAGTAGCTTTGAAGAAGGTAAAACTTTCTTTTATAATGAAGAAATATTTTTTATGTGCACAATACAGCATTATTAGTTACAGTCATGCACTGCATAATGACATTTCAGTCAATGATGAACCACATATACAACAGTTGTCCCATAAGATTAGTACCATATAGCCTAGGTGTGCAGTAGGCAATACCATCTAGGTTTGTGTAAGTACACTCTATGATGTTTGCACAAAGATGAAATTGCTTAACAACCCGATGATCAGAAAATATACGCCTCCTTAAGCAACGCATATCTGTATAGGCAGAATGTTATACAGTAGACATCTAGAACTTATTTACATTGCATAACTGAAACGTTATATCTGTTGAATAGCAACTCCTTAAAAATTTGTTAAGACATTAGATCTCATGTTAAGCGTCCTTACCACAATTTAAAGAAGACTGATCGATATCAGACTATTAAATAGCAAAGTCAAAAAGAATGTTTGTAGAAAAAAATGTCATTTTGTACTTAGATAATTATCTGTAAGTTGAAATAAATATATTCAAAGATTTTTAAAAAAGAAATATTTATTATGCAAAAAGATGACATTAAGAAATGATCCATGATTCTTTAATCATGTTTTTCTATTTCAAAGGAAAGCAAAGGTACTAATATTTAAAGAAGATAAATATTCATTCTTAGCATTAATTGTTTCAAAAAACAGAGAAAATTAATCAACACCAATCTGGATCAGTGCTTATATGCTAGGAAATGAGGAAGCTATATAAGCATTTTATTACTTAATTCCCACAATATCTCTATCACATAAGTCTTAGTATATTTATTTCTGATGATAAACTGAATCCAATTAAATTTTATTTAGTAAAGGCCAGTAATTAGCAACATCACTATGATAATGAAATTCTATCTAATTCCAAAGTCCAGGCTATCAACTGTCCAGAGTGTACACCCTCTACATCATGTCACCTGCAGGAGCACCCTGGTCATGAAGTAGCTCAACTTGGTTTTAGCCATTACCATGACCTGCTGCTGCTTCATTAATGGCTACATGGATTGAGCATATCAAACTCTATTTCCTGAAACCCAAGATTTTCCCATGATGCTCCCAGGTCCTTCTGTAGATCAGCATCCCGTGGGTTCTCTCTCCTACCCCACATCCTAGGGAATCTGGCTTCTACCTTTTCTTGGGGTTATACTGCAGAGAGAACACCTGTATGGGAGAAACCCAGACCTAGCTCTAATCCTGCCACCTCCATTCATTAGCCATGGGACATTGGGGAATATCTCATAAGTTTATATATTCTTTTAAATATCTGATAGGAATTCCTTCTTCATATGTTTAAAGATTAACTGGGATAAAGATACTCTATGTATATATATTTACACACATAATTATATATGTGTGTGTGTGTTTAAGTATGAGTGTGTATATATATACAATTCTCAGGCCAAGTACTTTCTTTTTCATTCCCCTGGGACAAGTTATTACCTCGCTATATCTTGATGTGGGCTTTGGGAAACAGTTTGCCTAGTTTGCCCTAGTTTACTCCTCTAAGAAAGTTTGTACCTTTGCTATCCTGGGTAAGTCTATTCGTCATCCTGCATATGAAACTCATTAAAAAAGAAAAGAGAAGCTCATAATATTTTATATGCGGTGTATACTCAAGTGTTTTACCACAAGGAAAAGGCCTGAACACCAAAAGCCAGTCTCTTATAAGAGTAGCTGTCCCTAGATATAGCTTCCTCTGATGGACAGATTTCGGAAACTCACACTTCTGCAGTTTTCTGACCCACTTCCAATAAAGGGCCTTAAGCTTTAGTATAAAAAGTTCTAGAGAACAAGACTGGAACTGGAGTGATCTTGACAGTGGAGTCTTGGAACTTGAGAAATGAGACTTCAGTAGAATCAATTATTCCTCCTCTAAGGGCACAAATCTGTTGCACAGGACACTGACACAGCTTATACTTTTCAGTAATCATGAGGGAAAATATTTATTATATTGTGCAGGACACTTAAATAGCTGTTTTACATTGAATGACACTTAGTTCTACACAACAATCTAAGAGTTAGGTGGAGTTTTAAATCCTAACTTGTATTTTATAAAAAAGAAACCCAGAATTTATTTATTATTACAGGTCTTGTAAAAGAAGAGGCAAGATTTGAAATCAAACACTCTGAACATAAAATCTTCACTCTGGGTACATGTATGGCTTATGTTTTCCTTTCATTGACTCTCTGATGGAACTGCTGTATCATAGGCAACAAACAAACATACACTCAAAGACTCCTTAGTCGTTGTTGGTGGGTGGGAGGTGATTATGGACTGTCCTAGATAACGTGGAGGGTGGCAGAGAGGCTTTCCCGTGTCTCCTCAGATCAGAAATAAAGGAAAATATGGAGATATGGGAGGGAAAACATGTTGTATCAATACTGCTCTGTCTTTAGGAGGAATTGAGAACACAAAAAAAGGGTAAGTGGTAAATAAGCATCTCTCCTAACTCTAACTAGATACACTGTACATCCCAAAGATGAGTAAAAGTTCTAAAGTTAAAAAGGAAACAACAAGGAAAAGATGATGCAGATGAGCTAAATTATAGACATGAAACCAAAGACAGGGGGCACTACAAGAAGTGGGCGAGGAAAACAGAAGGTTCAGAAGCTCGGTGGGCACAGTGTCAGGGGAGCTGGACAGTTCCAAGGATTGAAATATGGATAAGCTATCTGAGAAAAGGGACATTTAGAGAACTTGTAGATAAGTGACCCATGGTTTGTGACATTGAAAAATGAGACAGTGCCTGCTTCATAGTCTAGGAAAACTCCAACACGATGGGGAGGAACAGCCATGGAAAGAGTCAACACCTTGGGATCAGAGGTGGTAGAGTCTTCAAAGGCATTGTACTCCGATTCATTCTGTAATCCTATAACCCAGTAGCCATATTGAGGTCTGTATCTGGAGTAAACATTTTGATGATTTGTGGCTCGCCTAACATCAAACTTTGTATTACGGTAACATTTTCTACAGTATACCCCCAGGATCCAGGCGGTCTTCTTGGACACATCTATTTCCCAGTAATGTTTCCCTGAGGAGAAATATCGGGAGCCCAAGACACCATAATTATAATACTCAACAGGCCAAATTGGCACAGACATCACTTGTCTCTGATCTTCTGAAAGTACAAGATTCAAATTTAGGTTGACTGGACTCAGTATGATATCCACTGCAGGAAAAAAAAAAAATTATAAGTTCAGGTGACAAATATGCAGTAGATTTATCTGGTGACATTGTGAAGAGGACACTTGGGAATTGACTAGGAAAAACATGTATTGATTGGTTGGGGAAGAGGGTAAATATATACATATATACACACACACACATATATATATATATGGAGGTGATGAGATGAGAACACATGGGAGTAATACTATGGGATCTAATTGAAACCACAAACTTCTGAAAAGATATCAAAACAGAGTGATTTGAAGACCCAATAACTTCTTCTTACCCCAGTGGCACTGGACATGTGTTAGCTCTGAAATGATAAAACATTCAGTGATATTGATTAGAAGCAAATGATTAAGCACTGATACCTATCTCTTCTCCAGAGTAGAAGCAGGGGAGGGGAGTACTGTGAGGCTATGAACTGATGAATGAAAGGACAAATCAGATACCTAGCCAACTCTCCTAGATATAACCATATCTTCTTCAATGATATCCCTTCTTCTCTGAACACCCTCTTCCTTCCTATCCTCTCTTTGAAACTATACCAGCTCTCCAATTTAGTCCCTGACACCACAAAAATTCCACATCCAGAATCCTGCCCCGGCTCTCCTCACCTCTAAACATGTGCAGCATTCCCCTCAGATCTGGAGCACGGAACACACTCTTCAGTTTCTTGGAAGTAGTTTTTGGCTTCTTCAGCTTCCAGATCTCACTCCTAGAAATGACAAAAAAGGTTGACCCTACATCTCTTCCCTTGTGTCACTCCAATACCGCTGCTTTCCTTTCCTTCTGTTGATGCACTTGAACCCTCTTCCCTGAGAAGCCTGAGGAGGGGAGAAGGGAGAGTCCTGACGCTGGAGCCAGAAGAAATGTGCTCATGTCTACGTTCCCACTTAACCTCTGTGTGACATTGGGAAGGTCTTCACCTCAAAGAAACAATTTCTTCTTCTAAAAATGGAATAATTAGCCCTTCCCTTGATACCTCGTGGAAATAATACAAAATTAGATGAAATAATGTATAGGAAAAGCCTTTGCCACCTCTAAAAAATGTATGTAATATGTGGAAAAGCCATCACAGTGGATCTCCCAGGGAGGGGCCATAGACGTGTGTTCCCAGGCAGATCGTAGTCAAGCTACAGATTCTGCCTGTCATGTGGGTCTCCTTTTAGAGAGCCTGTGATCTTGTGCCCTAGTCAAAAGCCTGAACTCCAGTGGTGTGGCCTACAAATAAAATCTGAGATTTCAGATGTTCTGGAAAAAAGTGAAAAACACTTGACAAAGGAAAAGATATGACCACTGAAATAAAAAATGGTTAGAATTTCATATGTTTGCAAGGAACTTGATGCTGCCAGATGGGTTGGCAACTTTACACACAAGTACTATACTTTCCCATATATGCTTCTAAAGTGTGAGAACAAGAAGAGATTAATTATTGACACTAGGGTCAAAACCACTAACCCTGGGGCTCGGGTCTATTTTTGGATATCTAAAGAGAACCTCATAGAATGACCTGGTCTCTTCTATTTCCATGTGAGCAAAAAAAAATATAAAAGAGTTGCCCCATAACTTATTTTAGGGCTTGATGAAGCCTTCCATGTGATAAGGCAAGTACTTATGAAATACAGGAACAAGATCAAGGACAAATGGTGAATAAAATGAGTGAAGTCATAGGAGTCTGATGGTGAATTTCTTGACCCCTGTTATCTGTACTGGCCCTATAACTCTGTGAGCTCCAACTACCAAATTCACTATCATAGAATGTGGTCCAATCTCAAAAGACATGAAACACTTAAATCCTCCTCTATGACCAGCAATTTAAAATGATACTACATCCAAATTTCCTGCTTTGGGAGATTTTTCATTCTGATTGGCTACCAGATAACACCCATGGCTACAAACCTTTCTTCATCACAAAAAAGCACCACTCCAGGTCACCCATACGCACCATTTCATGATTCCACTCATGTCCTAGGAAGAAGAGAGAAAACATGAGTCAAGGAGTATAAAGATTAGGGCAGGATTAATGAAAGATAGAATAGAAAATCAATAAAGAAAATCAGAGAAATCAAAAGTGAACTATTTGAAAATATCAACAAAATTGACAAACCTTTAGCTAGACATATTATGAAAAAAGATAGAGGAGGCAAATTACTGAAATCAGGAATGACAGAGAAGACATGACTACTGACTTTTACAAAAATTAAAAGGATTATAAAGGCTATGAACAATGGTATGCCAACAAATTAAATAATTTAGATAAAACGGACAAATTCTTAGAAACACAGAAACTATCAATACTGATTCAAGAAGAAATAGAAAATTTGAATAGACCTAAAACATGTAGTGATTGGACTGGAAATCAAAAACTTCCTGCAAAGAAAAGTTCAGGCCCAGATGACTTCACTGGTGAATTCTGCAAAAAGTTCAAAGAACAAATAATACAAATACTTCACAAATTCTTCCAAAAAATAGTAGAGGAGGGAACACTTCCCAACTTCTTCTATGAGGCCAGTACTCCCCTAAAACTAAAGCTAGACAAAGACATCACAAGAAAAGTACACTACAGGCCAAGATCCCTTATGAATATAGATATAAATTTCCTCAACAAAATACTAGAAAATTGAATCCAACAAAATATAAAAGATGATACACTATGGTCAAGTGGGATTTATCACAGAAATGTAAGTTTGGTAACAATCAATATACTACATCATATGAATAGAATAAAAGATAAAAACCACATGATGATTCCAATAGAGGAGACAGAAAAAAAGCCTTTGACAAAATTCAACATCCTTTCATGATAAAAACAAAAAAGGAATAATAACAACAAACTGGGAACAGAGAGAAGCTTCCTCAGCCTGATATAAAGCATCTATGAAAAACCCCTAGCTAACATCATACTTAATGGTGAAAAACTGAGCGCCTTTTCCCTAAGATCTCTAAGATCAGGAACAAGGCAAGAATGTCTTCTCTCACTACTTCTATTAAAAATAGCATTAGAGGTTTTAGTCAGGGAAGTTAGGTAAGGAAAAGAAATAAAAAGCATCTATATTGCAAAGAAAAACTATCTCTATTTGCAGAATACATGATCTTATATATAGAAAAGCTCTGCTCTATACATTGGCTATAGGTGACCCCTTCCAGTTTTTAAATTTTACCTCACATGCAGGTGCTGCTGATTCCAGCCTGTACGTAATCTAATCATTGTCTATTGTCTCTAGTTATGTACCCAGGATGATACATTACACAATGAAGAATAAACAGGTAGCAGCAACTCATAATATCTAAAATATAAACTACTATTCACCAACCATATTGTTCCCTCTCCTATGCCCACTTTCCAAAAGTGGTACTGATATTCACTCAGTCCCTGTTCCAAACACTAAAACATCTTACCAAGCCAGTCCCTTCCACACCTTTAACTTCTTTTGGCCATGTGCATTTTCACATCATCACTACTATGGATTTATTTGTTTTGAACAATACGTACCAATACATTTGGTCTTACTCTTAAATGCCCCCAGCTCGATTTACAACTAAAGGAATGGTTTCGCTCTCTAAATTAGTATAGATTGGTTGTACATGACAAAGAAGCCAACTAAAAATGCCTTAACTAAAAAATAAATAAATAAACAAAAAGAGGATTGTGGCCAGAGAGATATTATTTTAGTCAAAGATGGATCTGGAAGCTCAAATCATGTCACAGATCTGGCCTTTCTGTGTCTCATAATTCTCTTTTCTTCCTTACCTGTTGACAGTATTCCCAGATTTTAATTGATAGCAACTTGAATCTCCTGGTTTAAATTATCTTCGCTGATATAATTTCCATGAGAAGGACAACTTTTTCTTCACTATAGTGACAATACAATTCTGAGGCCTTAAGCCATTGACCAGAATTGGGTCATATGTCCAACTTAAAATAATCACTGTGTGGTTGGTGGGAATACAGGAATTAGATATACTGATTTACATAGGATTAACTCATCCATCCTTGAAAATGCTGATTTTCTCAGTCCCAAACAAGTACATGGCTGGAAATACACATTTTGGGGTTTCCTTAAAAAGAAATCCAGGTGTTTTTACCAGGAAAATAAGGGAATGGATATTGAACAGATAAAAATAATAGGTGTTATCATCATTTAGCTGCCTACTGTCGTTCACATGTCTGTCATGCCATAAAATTTCAAAAATAAAAATGGTCCCATATAATAATACTATTACAGGAACACTAAAAGTAGAAGTGCCTCCTTTCCTAAGGGAAACAACCTAAAATCTCATCCAATTTTTGCATCAATTTTCGGGTTCAGCATTTCTTGTCAGCTCATTCTTCCCAGTCAGTGTTAAACATAGCCCCCAAACAAACAACAGCCCCTCCAGCAAACAACAATGATCCAATGATCAATGATCCATCCCAATGATGATCCTGATAAAAGGAAAGCTGTTATAAGAACTCTCAAGAAACAGGATTGTGAAGGGGCAGCACCACAATCAACAGCATATGTCTTAACATGTTGGAAAGGAACACCCAAACTCTCTAATCTGGTAAAAGAATAAGTTCCTTGGTTGGCCCATTTGCCATTCTTTGAAGTTGTTATCTAAATGTGGGATACTAATCCCACAAAATTTATAACTTTTATCTTTTAAGCGTTGTTTTTATTGCAAGTGACCAAATACCAACTTAAATTGGCTTAAACGGAACAGATGCCTGGACAAGTGACATAAACACAATAGTCTTTTCAAGAAGTTGGCAATTGAAAGAGTTGTGAAGAGCTTGTGGATGAGCTATAAACAAGGGAAAAGGAGTGAACCTATAAAACCTTTTTGTTTTTACTGAGATATTATTAAGATACTATAAAATTCATCTTTTATGGTACATAATTTAGTAGGTTTTAATATGTTTTCAATGCTGTGCACCATCACCACTATTTAATTCCAGAACATTTTCATTACTGCAAAAAGTAACCATATACTCATTAGCAATCATTTCCTATTTCCCCCTCTCCAGAGCCCCTGGCAACTACTAATCCAATTTCTGTCTCTATGGATTTGGCAATTATAGACTTCATATAAACAGAATCATACAAAAGGGGTCTTTTTGTGTCTGCTTCTTTCACTTATCCTATGTTTTCAAGGTTCATTCATTTTGTAATGTGTATTAGGACTTGATTTCTTTTTATAGCTAAATAATATTTCATTGTTTGGATATAACACATTTTGCTTATGTTTTCATCAGTTAATGGACATTTAGGTTGTTTCCATTTTTGAGCTATTATGAACAATGCTGCTATGAACTTTTGTATACAAGTTTTTGTGTGAATGTATGTTTTCAAATTTCTTAGGTATGTACATAGCAATGGAATTGCTGGGCCATATGATAACTCTAAGTTTTTGAGGAACTTCCAAGTAGTTTTCCAAAGTAGCTTCACCATTTTTCATCTTTACTAACAATGTATGAGAGTTCCAATTTCTCCCCATCTTTGTCAACACTTGGTATTGTCCATTTTGAGGGATATAACCATCCTAATGAATATAAAGTGTATATCATTGTGGTTTTGATTTTGCATTTCCCTGATGGCTAAAGATGCCAATCATCTTTTTGTGTGCTTATTGGCTATTTATATATCCTCTTTGGAGAAATGTCTATTTAAGTCCTTTGCTCATTTTTAAATTGGATTGTCTTTTTATTGTTGAGTTGTAAGAGGTTTTAATATATTGTGAATACAAGATCTTATCAGATATTTGATTTGAAAACATTTTCTCCCATTCTGTGGGATATTTTTTCACTTTCTTCATGGTATCCTTTGTAGCACAAAAGTTTTTAATTTTGATGAACTCCAATTTATTTTATCTTTGGTTTCTCCTGCTTTTGGTGCCATATCTATGAAGCTATTGCCTAATGCAAAGTCACAAAGATTTATACCTATGTTTTCTTCTAAGAGTTTCATAATTTCTGCTCTTACATTTAGATTTTTGATCCACTTTGAGTTAATTTTTGTAAGCATCAGAGACAAAGGAAACAATCCAAGAAATGAAAATCAATTATCATTCTGCTTGATATCAAGAATAAAAAAAAAGGAAGTGTTTGGTAATCCAGCAAAGACAGGGAAACAGACAGACAAGAAATCAAGCAAAAATTATGAAAAGTCTAGAATTCCCTGAATGTCCCCATACTTCATGGCTCAAGAAAATGGTCACTCTATTAATGATTTGAAGAAAAAACTGTTTAAATTTTAACATTAGTTTAAATTGTTCCATCAAGTATCTACAGATTTGTACCAGCATCCTTTCCTGGAGTGCATGCACACACACATACACATGCACAAACACACACTCACACCATTCAGGTGTGATACTTCCTATCCAAATATTTGCCCACCCCTCCTAAGAAAAGGCTCCATGTTCTATCACTCCATATTTTTTTTAAAAAAACAATCTAATAAGAGAAATTTGTAATAGCAAATATGCATTTTTTAATTGAAAAAAAGAATACATTTCTTAAACCTGAAAATGTGTGTATTTGCCTGTGGCTAAGATGAGTGGAAAGAAGCTTGACAAATGTCCAACACTAGATTACAGATAACAAGGGCCTAAAGAATATCACTGGATACCATGGGTCTTCTCTCCAAGGTCAAATGTATTCCCTTACTTCATAAAATAATAAAAATGAGACATTCCCCTGGAATGTTGACATCTGGAATGGACGGCAAAGAAGGGCTCTACAAGGCCAAAGGAACCTCTTAGTGTCAACACCAGAATTAGAGCCCAAGGACACAGAAGAGAAAATAACTTAGATTGTGTTTCGAGAATCTCAGATTGGGTGAGTCTTCTTACCTGCAGCATCTCCATTGTTGACCATTCACTGCGACGCTCCAGATCTGAGATGAGCTCTTTCACCAACTGGTTCTGCTGAACCAGCTCATCCTCAGCCTCAGCCAACTTATCCAGTGTCTTCTTTCCTTCTTCCTCCAATTTTTGCAGTTCTATCTTCTCCTCACTGTCCAGGATGCTTCTAAGCTGATTAAATTCTGTTTGTATCCTTTGTCTCTCAGTCTGTATATGATACTGCAAGGTTCAACAATAGAGAGAGTCTGTCAGCCTGACAGCCTACTGTGCAAAGGATTAGGATCCAGCAAAAAAAATATTTTTTCAGGGAGTTTGAACCAGGAGGAGAGTAGAGGCCGGAGGGCAATTTTTGGAAAAGCTGCTTTTCTCCTACTATTTGCCTTTCATTATATTCCAAAACAGGCCTCAGATTCTCTTATCTAGGCCAACTCTGGGACAAAATATAAAACCTGAGTGAGGTTTAGATTGTACACAGCTGTCCTGAACACTTGTGCCTCCATGCATTACTACAATCCCAAGTTTGAACCTTAAGGAAAATCTTGGTCCTTTGCCCAGTGTCTTCCACTGAAGGTATCTAAGCCTCATTGGAAAGAAGAATAAAAGACAGAATTCTTCAGCTTTTCTCATCATGGAGTCTGTCTTTATGCTCAATTCCAAATACCTGTGTTTACTTGTAACAAAACCACTCTCCAGCCCTCATCCCCAACAGAGGCAGGACAAAGAAGTCAAATGGTTTCTGGTGTCATTCAATGTCAGAGGACAAAGAGGAAGCGGCTTCCTTGTGATTTGGACTGGAGGTCCTGCCAAGATTCCAGGCTCAGAAATCCCTCAGGAAGAGTCTCCTCCTACCTTCCAGGTAGTTCTCTCTTTTCTGATGTCAGCTTCCAACTTCTCGGCTTCCTGCTGCTCTTTCCTGAGCCTCTCCAGAGCCACTTGGAGCCTCTCCTAGGAGAAAGGAATCACACCAGAGTCAAGCTATGGGCTTTCTCAGTACCTGGATAGAGAATAAATGGGGAAGAAATCAGGCTGATCTCAGAAGAAACTAGTTTATAGAAACTGTGATTAGAATCTGGTGGTTAGAATATATAACATGGGAGAAAATCTCAGGAGGTGAATATATTCTTTATTCCTGAGTGAAGTCACCATCCCCTCACCAAGAGTAGCCTTATTCTCTCTTTTCTTAGAGTAAGTATCAACTTTGCTGCAGAAAGGAAACTTCTATCCTCTTACTGAAACTCTTTCCACATCCAATCCATAATGTTGAACAGCAACCATCCTGCTGAGAGTAGCAGTGAAAGTTAACCTTTCGAAAGGAATTCCCCATCCATACAACCAATGGGAAAAAAGGCAAACCTCTCACTCTTGTCCAAGAGTCTAGGCTGTAAACTCTAGGCTTATCCTTTATGTAAATGGAAGGAATACCTAGAAGTGTCCTTCAGGTATTGGAAGCTGAGCATAGGGTAAGAGACATACATGGAGGGAGATTACAGGGTTCAGTACTATGGTGCCAAGGTGAGTAAAGAAGGATGGAAAGGTGAGATTTCTCACCAAGTACCATCTTCTACCCTGTCTCCCTCCACCCTGGGCCCTACCTGACATTCCTTGACTGCCTCCTCCATGAGGAATGTGTGGTGACCACGGTGCTCCTGAGACCGTTCACAAAGCCAACAAATGACCTCTCTATCCTCCTTACAGAAGAGCAGGAGTTTCTCCTCGTGGCGCATGCAGAGATTTCTCTTCTCTTCCTCTGGGCTCAACGTGACCTCTCTGAGTCTCTCCACTATGTTGGCCAGATGTTGATTTGGCCATAGATTTCCAGGTGAGTATCTGATACCACACACAGGACAGCTGCTTTCCCCTCCTGGGCTGATTTCTGCCTCCTTGTTCTTTGCAGTGATGCAGGCTTGACAGAAGCTGTGGCCACAGCCTAGACTCAGGGATTCTGTCAGAAGCTCTAGGCAGATGGGGCAGGTCACCTCTTCCTGCGTGTTCTTCAGAATTTTTAAAGCCATAGCACGTCTTCCCTGGCTTCTTCCTGTCCTAACTCCCGAGGTTCTTCTTGCTTAAAGATTTCTGGGTGGCTGGGTGGATTGAAAGGAGATGGTGTAAGAATGGCACAAACAAAAAGGACTCTAATTGTGCAGACATTAAGGACTGGCCAAGATGGAAATATTGAAGGGCAAAAAGGAAGAGCGAAAGAAACCAGAAATGGAATTCAGTGGCCTGGGCAAGCCACTAACGCATCAGGCTTCTACATTTGATTTTCTTTCAGCCTGGAATGATCCTTCCCTTCATATTTGCATGACTTCCTCTTACACTTCCGTCAGCTCTCTCCTTACGTGTCCTCTCACCAGAAAGGCCTAATACAACTAATTTACCAACAGCACAACCACCAATACATCATTCAATGTACATTTGCCATCTTTTTCTTATTATCACTATATAATTTATAATATCTTTCTTTAATTATTCTACTCCTAAAATGTAATCCACACATAGATCAGGCACTTCGTTTTTATTCACTCCTGCATCCCTTGTGCCTAGAACCCACAGGAACACAACGTTTGATGAATGTATAAAGAACCTCCTCACTTCTCCATAGGTGATTAGACTTTTTTTTAATCAGTATTTCATCTTTTTTTTCCCGTTGATTAGCTGTTCTCCAGTAGGTGAGCTTTGGAACCAGAAATATGATTTCCAGTGAAGTATTTACCTCCTAATATACCTGTCCCACACAGGGCTCTCCCATACCCTCATATTCACTCCCCAGATACACCCACAGAAACAGCAAGGACCAAAATAAGGAAGTAATCTTATCACCAATAATTGTATAACCAGTTACAATTTATAAGTCACGTTGACCTATTTATTCCTCACACAAAAATCCTTAAGAAATAAGAATTTTCTCAGATGTGTAAATAGCATGAGGTGACTTACAAAGATTATTCAATTCAATAAGTTGAATTGAGGTGAATATAATGTCCTCAGGGTCCTCTTTCAGAGATCTGGCAGATGTGATAAACACTATCACACAGAGGTACACGTTTTTGGGAAATCAAATAATTCGCCAAATAGGAGAATATAAAAGATATCCCCCTTGAATAAGTAAGGATTGACTGAAAGCTGAATGATGAAAAGGGAATATGGAATGAGAAAAAGAAAAAATATTTTAGGGAAAAGGAATCACATATATGCAGGCCCTATTGATGGAGAACACAGCATCTGCTACAAGTTTTAAAATGCCAGTGTGGCTAGTGTGCAGAGAGCTGCTAGGCCTTTGGCATTACATGAGCCTGCAAGGATCAGAAATGTGACACATCCAAAATGATCTAAAAGTGATAGTCTCTTCCAAAGAGCAGGGATCAGTGATGGGAGGTTGTAGGACCAGTTGATGGAGGAAATGGAGAGAAGCAGAGGAGAGAGAGAGACAAAGTGAGATAAATGTGACAGGACTGGAATTTAGATTGGACATGTCGGAACAAAGGGTTATCATCAGGCTAAAGTCCTTTCTTGCTGTAAAAAGGACATTGGCATTATCTTCTCCTAGTACTTTTTTATTTTATTTTTATTATTTTTGGTAAGTACACACCTCAGCTTCCACAAGGGGGTTGTGACTCTTGTGATGAAATATTCTCCTGCAGTGTCCTTGAAGCTATGCTCCTGGTTCTTACAAGGAAATCAGTCTATTACAATAAGACTTACCTAAGCTATCTTAGTTTCATACATATCCACCTGGTCTTGTTCTCTTACAAATGACCGAGGGGGATAAAGTATCCCCTATGCTACTGTATGGACCCTCATTCAGAGCTCACCTGAGGCAGCTATGCCGACACGCTGTAGTCTCCTGTCCTGTATGCCCCCGCTAAGCTAAGTGAACCTGGCTGGTTTATGTCCTGTTGTCACATGAGTGGGAATGGCAAACCAAACCTGAAATTATTGCTGGTGGTCGGTCAAAGGGCATGTAACAGAGTGGTAGCATGGTGACACTGACTTTCAGAACCTGCACATAATATGGACAAGGAACTGTGAGGCAAAAAAAAAAAGGAAGCTCTCAGAAGATATGAATGTCTTGATACTTGCTCTAATGGATTAAATTGTGTCTCCTACACAGATGTGTTCATCTGTGTGAATGTGACCTTATTTAGAAATAAAGTCTTTGCAGATGTAATCAAGTTAAGATGACGTCATACTGGAATAGAGTGGGCTGTAAACCAGTGACTAGTGTCCTTGTTAGAAAAGGAAAGGGCACAGAGACACATAGTGAAGAAGTCTATGTGACAATGGTGGCAGAAATTGAAGTAATAAAGCAACAAGGAAAGGAATGCCAAAAATTGCTGGCAACCACCAGAAACTAGGAGAAAGACATGGAACAGATTCTCCCCTAGAGCCTCCAGAAGAAACGAATTCTACCAGGACTTTGATTTTGGACTTCTGGCCTCCTGAACTGTGAGAAAATAAATTCCTATTGTTTTAAGCCATCAAATTTGTGGTAATTTGTTACACTGGCCCTCGGAAACTAATATAGTTGAAAAGATTTGATACTTAAAGAAAGATCTGAAGTATGTAACAAATTATAAATCTTCCCTTTTCTCTAAAAGGAAAGGGTGAGGGTGTGATGAAAGCTGTATGAAGACACATTTAAGCCTAGAAACATGCCCACTTCTTCAATCATCCGTGGAGTTAACCTGATGAGGAATAAGGCTGAATGTGTAGGTGTAATCCAGATACTGATAATTGTCTAAAGGCTATATGCTGTTAGCCCTGGCTGTAGAGACAATTGGTTAGATCAGGTTCTGATAACTGTCAAGACCAGGGGTTTACATAATGATAATGTCCACTTCCGCTTACAACTGAAGCTATGAGCCAATGATGGGCATGGGGTCCTCTGTGATTTTTTATTCTATTCAGTATCCAACCAATGCTATGAAACACCAAGAGCTTCCAGAGGAAAAAGGAGTGGAACACGTTTTCTACTGTGGGGCTGTGGGCCTAGTGTTCATAGTGGGGCTGCAAAAAGTTGACGTCAAAACAGCTGTCACCATAATGGCCACAGAAGGAGGAAGGGGCAGAGAAGCCAGAGCCCCCACACATGCGCAGTGACCCCACCAATGCCCAAGAAAGACCCAAAAGGCCAACAGCAGTTATGGAAGTAGAGAAGGGAACACAAGTGGCAACAGCCTGACAGAACTTCCAGGTCAGCTGGCTGCCATAAGTGTCAGATGACTATATCCTACACTTGAGTCTTCTCCTAACATCTGGACTCACAATAATGCAAACTCTATGCCTCTCTGTGGGTTAGACAGTAAAATGAAAATGTCTTCAGGAAGAAAAGTGAAGGGAAGGATGTCCTTCAAAGTTTTCAGACAACATCCTAGACATTTCTCTTGGTTCCTGAGTCAGGAACTGCCAATGGGGAAAGTAGGACCATTTTTTGGCATCCAGAGACCTGTGGAACTCAGAAACATTGCCTCTCCCCTCCCCATTCCTCTATGCTCAGAACTCTTGCTTCAGCCACCCCTAGAATCCAGGGCTAAATCTGTCCCACACGAGTGCTCCTCTCCCCAAGAGCTCTAGCAAGGCTTTTCCAGGTCACTGCAGATCTCTCACTCTAATTCAACTTTTTAAAAATGTTACCTCATAATATTAGCCACCTTCTTATATACCATATCCATTATTTATTGTTTGTTTATGATCTCTCCTCAACTAGAATGTAAGCTCTTATGTGTATTCAACATTTATTTTATGTTGAATGGATAGTCATTGCACTTTTTCACACCAGCAGCCTGCTTAGGTCCTATGAATTAAATTTTTAAAAAATAAATAAATCCATTTCATCCTATGTGTTGGGCCTTGCCCTTGACCCTGGAGACAATCAATATCTGGGCAGAAATGGACCCTATCCAGGAGTAAGGCACAGACTCACAGGCAGGCAGTAACAGTGACTTCTGAAAAGTGGGAGTATAGCACACGATGGGCACGTGTTGGAATATATGTAACATGTCAATCAATGTGCAAATTGCTCACAAGTGAGCTTAAGACAGGACATGGTGTCACTTGATGGGGCAAACTTCTTAGCAAGACAAGTGAATCTTTGGGCTCCTCTTGAGCAATAATCAACTTTTATTAAACAGCTCTGAAGAAAGAAATACAGAGAGAAATTGAGGTAACAGTCAACACAAAGGTGTGTCTAAGAGGAAGAATGATAAAGGAAAAACCCTAAGGCATGTGAGGACACCAGTGCCAATGGGCTACGGAAGTACGAGTCAGCAGGTCTATTCAGGGAAGGGCAAGTAGATACCTGAGACTGGAGCTCAGAAGGACCCAGGATAAAAGGCAGACTCAGAGGCATCCACCCAGCTGTCTTCAGGCAGCCCAACAGCTAAAGATATGTCAGGAAGGCCACAGACAGCCCCTTGGTGGTTGCCAGGAGGGGAGTGAAAGAATCAGCTTCAATATTACCCCTGCCATGTCCCCAAGACTCCATTGTCTCTGATGCCTCATACTAGGAGCTTGGACTTTCACACGTTTGGAAAACAGGGACCTCTTTCACCAGATTTTCTTCTGAGGAGTTAGAGGTGGACAGAAGAGAAGAGACTTTCTGTTCATCTCTTTAAAAGAAAGAGAGAGAGAGAGAGAGAGAAAGAGAGAAGATTCCTGTTCAGCCTGGAGAAATAAGGGCCCCTCCAGGAAAAAAACAAGGCCCTCTGCCTCTTTAACATTTCTTTCTTTCAAGGCCGACCCTCTCCAGACTCAAGGCTGCCATCTGTCTGCACTCAGAGCAGGAAGACTGCAAGCTGGCTTTTCTTCCCTTCAGAACAATTCTGGGCCACAAACTAAACTCACCAATTTCGCCTAGTACTTTCGTCCCAGAGTCTCCCACCCTCTGCCTCCCATAAACCTCCCCACACATCGTTAGGTCCCAGCAGAGAAGTTTTGACTCCTGGTTTAAGTGGTGAAGAAAAACCAGGGCAGGTATGGTCAGGATTTACTCACCAAACAGGGGCTCAGTCTT